AGTTCTGAGGAAGGGTCACCGGACCCGAAACGTTAACTCTGTTTTCTCCTCCACAGATGCTGCCAGACCTGCTGAGCTTTTCCAGCAACTGTGTTTTTGTTCCCGATTTACAGCATCCGCAGTTCTTTTGGTTTTTATTTTCTCAGTGACGCCCAGTTTGGGTTCCGCCAGGACTACACAACCTTAGCTCAAACGTGGATGAGCGCGCTGAATTCCAGAGGTGAGGAGAGTGTGACTGTCCTTGACATCAAGGCTGCATTTAACTGAGCGTGGCATCAAGGAGACCTAGCAAAACTGGAATCAATGGGTATCGGGGCAAACTCTCCAGTGGTTGAAGTCATACCTGGCATAAATGAAGATGGTTGTGGTTGTTGGAGGTCAGTGATCACGGCTCCAGGAATCTCTGCAGAATTTCCTCAGGGTTGTGGTCTCAGCCCAACCATCGTCAGTCGCTTCTTCAATGACCTTCCCTCCATCATAAGGTCAAAAGTGGGGATGTTCGCCGATGATTGCACAATGTTCACCACCATTCATGACTTCTCAGATACTGAAGCAGTCCATGTTCAAATGCAACAAGATCTGGACAATATCCAAGCTTGGCCTGACAAGTAGCAAGTAACATTTGCATCTCACAAAATTCAAGGCTATGACCATCACCAATAAGACATAATCTAACCACTGCTCCTTGACATTCAATGATGTTACCATCACTGAATCCCCAAGTATCAACATCCTGGGGGATATCATTGACCAGAAACTCAACTGGGCTCACCACGTAAACACAGTGGCTACAAGAGCAGGTCAGAGCCTAGGAATACTGCAGCGAGTCACTCACCTCCTGACTCCTCAAAGCCTGTCCATCATCTACAAGGCACAGATCAGGTGTTTGAAGGAATACTCCCCACATGCCTGGATGAGTGCCGCCCCAACAACACTGAAAAAGCTTGACACCATCCAGGACAAAGTAGCCCGCTTGATTGGCTCTACATCCACAAGCATCCACTCCCTCCACCACTGATGCTCAGTAGCAGCAGCGTGTACTATCTACAAGATGCACCGCAGAAATTCACCAAAGATCCTCAGACAGTGCCTTCCGAACCATAACCACTTCCATCTAGGAGGACAAGGGCAGTAGATATATGGGAACACCACCACCTTCAAGTTCCTCTCCAAGCCACTCAGCATCCTGACTTGGAAATATATTGCTGTTCTTTTGCTGTTGCTGGGTCAAAATCCTGGAATTCCCTCCCTAATGGCATTGTGGGTCAAACCACAGCAGTTGGACTGCAGCAGTTCAAGAAGGCAGCTCACCACCACTTTCTCAAGGGCAACTAGGGATGGGCAAGAAATGCTGGCCAGCCAGCAATGCCCACATCCTACAAATTAACAAGAAAAAATGTTGCACACATCCTGAAGAATAGTAAATATTCAATCACTCTCCTGACTAGATGCTGAACAAGTTTGAGAGAGTTTGGAGATGAATTACATGGCACAGAATTTCCAAACTCTAACCTACACTTGCAGTCGCAACATACAAGTGACTGATCCAGTTCAGTTTTTGATCATTGGGAACTCTCAGGATATTGACAGTAGATGATTCGGTGATGGTAATGACATTGAATGTCAACAAATTATGGTCATATTCTACTCCGAGATGTCTGTAACGAGCGTTTATGTCGCACAAATGTTATTTTGCACTTGGTATTCAAAACCTGAACATCCAGATCCAGCTGCACATAGATTCCTTCAGAATCTGAGGATTGTGAACAGTGAAGAACTTTATACAAATGTCAGCAAACATCCCCACTTTATTCAAACTTTTTCAGTGGGTCAAGATTTCAACACAGTGAGGCTTTGGCCTTTGGTCCATGATACATCTCCTGGGCCCTGTATATTGTCCTTCTACATTCTGTGGTTTTGTCAAAGGACAAGTTCATTCTTAAACACAGTAAACCAACTAGACTGTGCTTATTTGCTGTCGTAATCTGCAACGTCAGTCCACAGCTCTCTGTTTCTCAGTAAAAGAACAGCTCTCTTCAAATGGACCAAGAACAGCCCACTGTACTGCCTGACGAACACGGAAGTTCTCCTAATGTTTCAGCCAACATTCTAAACTTCAACTGAACACCACTAAAAAAACTGATTATTCCTTTCTTTCTCTGTCACATTTCACTGAACAAAACCAGTGACATAAGACATTGACTGGAAAACCTAAATAAATTGATTTATCCAATATAAATGGCAATCTATGGTACTGAAAGGTTCAGTCAATAGATGTAATCAGTTGTCATAATAGTCAGCACTCTGCAAGATCAGAGATATAAATGCTCCATGTCCATATCTGTGTCAGCCTATGCTCAGTGCTACCCCTGATGTCACTGAGCCTCAATGTGGCTTAAATCACATTTAAGAGAGGAGCACTGAAGAAACTGTCTTCTACTTCTGATCACTGCCCAATAAACAACATTGAAAATTCTATGTGTCAGTAGGGTAAAGCTGCTCCATCTCCAAAACTCCATTGTAGACAAGTACGGGAGGCAGGCAAAAAATTTAAAACTGGGTAGGCCAGTTAACTTGATGTCTGTCAGGGGGAATCAATCAATCATTGAGATGATTACAGCTAGCCAGGAAAACTCAAGGTAATCGGGAAGAGTTAATATGGTTTTGTGAAAGGGAAATCATGTTTAACCAATTTACTTTTTTATTCGTTCATGTGGGACGTGGGAATCACTAGCTTTCCAGCATTTATTGACCACTCCTAGTGGCCCTTGAGGTGGTGATGGTGACCTGTCTTCTTGAACCGCTGCAGTCCACATGCTGTAGATTGACCCATAATGCCCTTAGGGAAGGAATTCCAGCATTTTGACCGAGCAACAACGAAGCAATGGCAATATATTTCCAAATTATAATGTGAGTGGCTTAGAAAGAGACTTGCAGGTGGTGGTATTCCCATGTAGCTGCTGCCCTTGTTCTTCTAGATGGAAGTGGTTGTGGGTTTGGAAGGTTCAGTCTGGGTTCCTGAATGAATTTCTGCAGGGCATCTTGCAAATAGTACACACTGCTGCTACCAAGCGTTGGTGGTGGTGTTGGGAGTGGATGTGGTGCCAATCAAGTGGGCTATGTCCTGGATGGTGTCAAGCTTCTCGAGTTTTGTTGGAGTGGCACCCATCCAGGCAAGTGGGGAGTACTCCATCACATTCCTAACTTGTGCCTTGCAGATGGTGGACAATTTGGTGAGTCACTCACTGCATTATTCCCAGCTTCTGACCTGCTGCTTATGTGGCAAGTCCACTGGAGTGTCTGCTTAATTGTAAGCCCAAGGACATTGAAAGTGTGGGATTCAGTGCTGGTAACACCATTCAATGTGGAGGGCCGGTAGTTAGAGGGTGTCTTGTTGGAGACGGTCATTACCTGGCATTTGTATGGTGCAAATTCTTTGAAGGAATGAGGCACTATGGATGAAAGGGAGCCTGATTGCCAAGATCTGAGGTGTAGAGTCCCACAGGAAGGCAGCCTCAGCTTTATACAATTTATACCAATGTCTTGTGTGAGCAGAGTGAAGACATGGTCACAAAACTTTCAAATGACACAAAAACGTTGTTCTGCAGGAAGAAATAGATTGGTTGAGAGAGTGGTTAAAAAAAATCTGGTAGATAGCGTGTAATATGGGAAAATGTGAACTTGTTCACTCTGGCAGGAAGAATTAAAAAAAAAAAAAAAGAGTATTGCTTAAACTGAGAACGAATTCAAAATTTTGAGGTGCAGGGGGATCTAAATGTGCTATTGCACGTGCCATAAAAGATTAGCATACAGGTACACCAAGTAATTAAGGAGGTCAATGGAATGTCATCTTTTACTATGAAAGGAACACAGAAGTGAGGATGTTATGCTTAAGTTACAAAATGCATTGGTGAGGGCATTTCAAATAATGTTTTGGTGGTCTTATTTAAGGAAGGACATAACTGTGGTTCAGAGGTTTAATAGATTGATACCTGGAATGAGCAGGTTGTCTGTTGAGGTAAGGATGTACAGGCTGAGTTTGTTTCACTGGAGTTTAGGAGAATGAGAGGTGACCGGACTGAAGTATATAAAATCCTGACAAGGTGGTTGTGGAAAAGATGTTTTGTTTCGTGAATCAATCAGAACAGTGGGGCACAGTTTAAACATAAGGGGTCACCTTTTAAAGGACAGAGATATAGAGGAACATTTTTTACTCTCGGGGGCTGTTTAGCTTTGGAACACAGCTTCACAAGCTGGCAATGGCAGAGTCGCTGAATTTTTTTAAAGCAGAGGTAGATTAATTCTGGTCAGGCAATAGAATCAAAAGTTATCGGGGTAGAATGTAGAATTCAAAACAAAAAAAATCAGTTATGATCTTATTGATTGGTGAAACAGATTTGAGGGGTTGAAGGACTACCTCTATTGCTAGGTCATATGTTTAAACACACACACAAGCAAATAGACAAGCCATTTGGCTAAGACAGCAGAGGGCTCCTGCTCATTATGAAGCTGTACTTTGGAGTGAATTATTGACTTGAAAAGTGGGAAATTTGGGGACAAAATCATGTAATACAAATCTTTCAATTGGATAAACAATCCTACAAAAGTGAAATGTAATAGCCATACTGACTATATATAAATTATAACTGGTCAATTCTTATCCTCCGTGGTTCAAGGATTCAAGGAAAGCCACAATCATGTCAAAAAAGCCACCACAACACAGTCAAGGAATCATAGCTGCCGCCTGTCTGGCTCAAGTAGTTTCAATACAACACCACTGGATGGATACATTATTCACAGAAACATCAAAAGTCTGTTTTTACAGGACACTTATTTAAAAATGCATTTCTATGGGACTGACAGGTCAGTTCTCCCACTACACATTTTGGATATGTGCTTGGGCAGCAATTTTAATGCTAAAACTGACAGTTAATTTAATATAATTTTGCCATGAGGGAAACTTAAAGTGTTTCTAAGGACAAGGACTCTTGTTGGTCAACATAATGTGACATTGATAGAGCTGAAGTATTACAGTGTCTTTCCAGACACTGCTGCTGGTAAATGATCAAATCACACAGAAACTCAAAAATATTGGAGCACAGTCTAATACCTGATTCTCAGAATCTGTGTCCAAACTGCTCACCTGATAGGCCTTGTCACAAATGTCACAGTTATATGGCTTTCCACCAATATGCGTGACCATATGTCTTTCAAGAAGTGATGGTGCACTGAAGTTCTTGCCACAAATGTCACAGGGATTGTACTCAGGTGGATGCACATCCTGGATGTGCTTCTTGTGCTCCTCTAGGGTTGGAAAACTCATCCGGCATTTCTGACAATCATATGGGTCTTCAACATCTGCACAAATCAGAAGAAGGGTCACTAGACTCAAAATGTTAGCTGCTTTCTCTCCACAGATACTGCCAGACCTGCTGAGTTTATCAGCATTTTTTCTGTTTCAGAAAATATCTCATTTACATCAGCTATTTCTGTCAACACTATCTGGGATCAAAATAGATGATCCCAATTTAGGAATGTTTGCTCAACTTACAAGAGGTCCTGTTGACCAATTGATCAAAACAATCACTGGCTTGGAGAGGGCAAATCTCTTACTTGGAATTGGTGTGGCTTGATAGTTGAACATTTTGATTAGTTTTACAGCATATTAGATTGACAGTGATCAAGGGGCTCCAAAATGATGATTCCCATCCACTTATAGTGATAAAGTATGCATTATGAATTGTATTAAAACATGATTGCTTTACAGAGCATGCTTTGATTTTTGCTAAGCTTAACAACAATAAACAATGAGCCTTTGTTTGCAGGATTGGTTTTATGGATCAAACACCTCTTAATTTCAAAAAGTTAATTTAGAACTCTAAAATGCATCTGCATCAACAATATAGCAGCACATTAGGCTAACAAGCTAGTAGCTCAGGCGCCCACACAATTTATATCTGTGAAGGGGAAGTGAAGAAGCTTTTAATTGGAATATAATGAACCTGAAGGAAGCGAGAAAATAGTTTTTGTTGCACATTGAGCTAACCACAGAGACAAAGCACTTAATTTCAAAGACTGGTGTGCTACTTTGAAGGACGAAGGTCGTGTAGGGTTCAGGAAATTGGAGTCTCCCCTTTTCTCTGCCTGGAAGTCAGGCTGAGTGATAGACATGCCTTTCAGTCAGGTAGGCAATACATTGCCACAACCCCAGATAAGCAGCAACTGGGAGTGCATGTAAGGTTAGGGCTGATAAGGTGGGGACAGATCTGCCAACCTAAGTGCAGGTGGAAGCCTCACCCAACACACAAATAGGGCTAGAAACATATTTACATTTTCTCTGCCTTCCTGAGCTGCCAGGTTTCACAAAGCCTGGTTAACCTTACAAAGAAAGTTAAATACGAGGCTTCCAGCCTCATTGAAGTCTTTAAATTGTTAACAGAACCCAGTCTGCCTGTTAAACTATGTGGTGGCTGCATTAGACTAGGAGCTGAAAGTTTTGTTTTATAATTTTAATATCCCATTGAAGCTCAATCTACATATTGCTGGAGGGTCAAAATTTACCTGTTATTAAATAAATGCCGGCATCTCCAGGCACTACAATCAAGCCTACCCCAGCTCAGAGCCTCCCTCTCCCAGACCTGCAAAGGACCTCTCCTGTTTTTTATTCTTCGTAGGATCCACAACCTGAACTCACAATTCTACTCAGCTTTATTGGACACTAAAAACCGTAAGTACAGTAAACTTACTGGTGCCGACTACCCAAAACGGGCTTCCTCCACCCCCCAAATCTCCAACCCTACCCAGGACCTTCCCCACAACATGCCCGCCGCCACTGGCCATGAGGCCACTGTCGGAGAACCCACAGATGACGTCACATCCGCCACCGCTGGGAGAACGCAACTCCGCCCACAGCCTCCACAGCCAGCAGCTCCAGAGGGGACAATAGCACCCAGTCCTGCTGAGTCTTTACCATCCCCCCCAGACCTCCCCATTAATGAGGACAAATGGTCAGTCCTCAGTAAAGGGCTTACTTTTGTCCCCCTCCACCCACACATCAACAAATACTGGTCACGTTTGGACATAGCGCAGTTTTTCCGCCACCTCCGCCTCCACGCTTACTTCTTCAACTGTGAACCTAACCCTCCCTCTACTGACTCCTTCTCCCGCCTCCAACACATACCCTCCTCCTGGACACCACCTCAAAGCCTCCTACCCTCCCTCGACCACTTCATCTCCAACTGCGGTCGAGACATCAATCGCCTCAACCTCTCCACCGCAGAACGTGCAGCCCTCCGCTCCAATCCCAACCTCACCATAGAACTCGCGGACAAGGGAGGCACAGTTGTAGTATGGCGCACTGACCTCTACATCGCAGAGGCCAGACGCCAACTCTCCGACACCTCCTCCTACCGCCCCCTTGATCATGACCCTACCCCCGAGCACCAAACCATCATCTCCCAAACCATCCACAACCTCATCACCTCAGGTGACCTCCCACCCACGGCCTCCAACCCCACACCGCCCGCTTCTATCTCCTTCCCAAAATCCACAAACCTGAATGCCCTGGTCGACCCATTGTCTCCGCCTGCTCTTGCCCCACCAAACTTATCTCCAACTATCTGGACTCCATTTTCTCCCCCTGGGTCCAGGAACTCCCTACCTACGTCTGTGACACCACCCACGCCCTCCACCTCCTCCAGAACTTCCAATTCCCCGGTCCCCAACACCTCATCTTTACCATAGACGTCCAGTCCCGATACACCTGCATTCCCCATACAGATGGCCTAAAGGCCCTCCGCTTCTTCCTGTCCCGCAGGCCGGACCAGTCCCCCTCCACTGACACCCTCATCCGCTTAGCCGAACTCGTCCTCACCCTCAACAACTTCTCTTTCAATTCCTCCCACTTCCTACAGACAAAGGGGGTGGCCATGGGTACCCGCATGGGCCCAAGCTATGCCTGCCTCTTTGTAGGTTACGTGGAACAATCCCTCTTCCGTACCTACACCGGCCCTAAACCCCACCTCTTCCTCCGTTACATTAATGACTGTATCGGCGCCGCCTCGTGCTCCCACGAGGAGCTCGAACAGTTCATCCACCTCACCAACACCTTCCACCCCAACCTTAAGTTCACCTGGACCACCTCTAATACCTCTCTCTCCTTCCTGGACCTCTCTGTCTCCATCTCAGGCAACCACCTAGAAACCGATATCCATTTCAAGCCCACCGACTCCCACAGCTACCTAGAATATACCTCCTCCCACCCACCTTCCTGCAAAAATGCCATCCCCTATTCCCAATTCCTTCGCATCTGCTCCCAGAATGAGGCATTCCACTCCCGTACATCTCAGATGTCCTCTTTTTTCAAGGACCGCAACATCCCCCCCCTCAGTGGTCAAGAACGCCCTCAACCGTGTCTCCCACATTTCCCACAACTCATCCCTCACACCCCGTCCCCGCAATAACAACCAAAAAAGAATCCCCCTCGTCCTCACGTACCACCCCACCAACCTCCGGATCCAACGCATCATCCTCCGACACTTCTGCCATCTGCAATCCGACCCCACCACCAAAGACATCTTTCCCTCCCCACCCTAATCTGCTTTCCAGAGGGACCACTCTCTCCGGGACTCCCTTGTCTGCTCCACACTCCCCTCCAGCCCCACCACACCCGGCACTTTTCCCTGCAACCGCAGGAAGTGCTACACCTGCCCCCATACCTACTCCCTCACCCCCGTCCCAGGCCCCAAGAAGACTTTCCACATCAAGGAGATGTTCACCTGCACATCTGCCAATGTGGTATACTGCATCCACTGTACCCGCTGTGGTTTCCCCAATGTAGAGGAGGCCAAGCAGAGGCTCGGGGACCGCTTTGCAGAACACCTATGCTCGGTTCGCAATAAACAACTGCACCTCCCAGTTGCGAACCATTTCAACTCCCCCTCCCATTCCTCAGACGACATGTCCATCCTGGGCCTCCTGCAGTGCCACAACGATGCCACCCGAAGGTTGCAGGAACAGCAACTCATATTCCGCTTGGGAACCCTGCAGCCCAATGGTATCAATGTGGATTTCACAAGCTTCAAAATCTCCCCTCCCACTACCACATCCCAAAACCAGCCCAGCTTGTCCCCGCCTCCCTAACCTGTTCTTCCTCCCACCTATCCCCTCCTCCCACCTCAAGCCGCACCCCCATCTCCTACCTACTAACCTCAGCCTGCCCCCTTGACCTGTCCGTCCTCCCTGGACCGACCTATCCCCTCCCTAACTCCCTACCTACACTCACCTTTACTGGCTCCATCCCCGCCTCTTCGACCTGTCTGTTTCCTCTCCACCTATCTTCTCCTCTATCCATCTTCTATCCGCCTCCCACTCTCTCCCTATTTATTTCAGAACCCCCTTCCCCTCCCCCTTTTCTGATGAAGGGTCTAGGCCCGAAACGTCAGCCTTTCTGCTCCTATGACGCTGCTTGGCCTGCTGTGTTCATCCAGCTCTGCACCTTGTTGTCTCGGATTCTCCAGCATCTGCAGTTCCTACTATCTCTGATTTAATAAAATATACTTCCTGTTTTCTCATAGCTTGAAAGCCTCTTGTTGCTAGCTAAACAGAAGAACTCTAAATAGTTGATAAAAGCTTTTTATTCCAGGAAAAAAAAAGCAACAATTGGAACAAGAATTTTTTCATTTGTGACAGTATCTTCATTACAAACTAGCTTCTCATAGCTTGAAAGCCTCTTGTTGCTAGCTAAACAGAAGAACTCTAAATAGTTGATAAAAGCTTTTTATTCCAGGAAAAAAAAAAAAGCAACAATTGGAACAAGAATTTTTTCATTTGTGACAGTATCTTCATTACAAACTTTGATTTTTGTTTTTGGTCAACACTTTTAGAGTGTGCTTGAAATTAAAACCAATTACCCACAGATTGGATGTATGTTACTGTCAGGAATTACCATGTGATTTCTGACAGATTAAACAGTTGTGGAGCATCAACAGTTATCTCCTTTTGAGTAGGGGGTCTCAATTTTTTTATGTTTCTGAAGCCTCCTTTCCTAAAAAACTGGACCTTTGAAAATACAAACACATTTTCTGCATAAAAGCCATTATACAATAAAATATACATTCCTCATTTTTATTTTTATCTGTTAAACATGTGGTAAAATGCTTCAAATAGTTTCACTGACAGAACGCAGTTAGATGGGTAAACTATTCAGGCAAGTGCAAGATTTTCTTCCAAGAATGAAGAGATCACTTTCAATAACTAGTTTTTCTTCTGGTTAATTTTGGCAGACTTACTGAAGCCACATCACAGATCTCTTGCTGAAACACTTATTAACCTTTTAAAACTTTTCAGACCTTCCTGCTGCTGACTCAGATGACCCTGACGGTTTCTAAACCATCTTTATCAGCCCTCATGAGTATAGAATTTGAAACCAGAAAACATCTGACCAAATTGTACATCTTTAAGATGGGTAAAGTACACTCTGCTCAGTGATATAATCCAGGAAGAGTCAGATTTCACATGTATGCTGACATTTATTTCTCTTCACTTCATCCCTCTTGATCTCCACTTCCTCAGATTCATCATGCTGCCTGTCCAATGTTCAATATTGAATGATCAGCGATTTCCTCTAATTAAATGCAAGTAAGGCTGAAGTGATCTTCTTCAGTCCCCAAGAATCATCTTCACCAACCTCTCACCAGATTCTTCATAAACTTTATACTTTTTGACTTGAACCAAGCTTCCAATTTCATATCCTTCCCAGCACCAGAACTGCCTACTTTCATCTCCATAACATTACCCATCACTACTCTGTTTCAGCCCATCTGTTCCAATGCTCTCCAGTCCATAGTGGGATCCTGCCCATTCCAATGGGATCCTTGCTAGCCTAGCTTCCCATTTTCAGATCATTCAAAGCCCTATCAGCATCCCAATTCGCAGCATGCGAGTTCACCTAGCATCTATATGCTGGCTGACTTAGCGACTTCCATCAAGCAACAAGTTTAAAATCATCATTTTTGTTATCACATCTTTCAACAGCCTCGCTTCCCCAGTCTCCTGTATTATTCTCCAGCTTTACAACCCTCTGAGATCTCAACATCCTTCAAATTTCAATTTCTTGTGCAGACTCCACTTTAATCACTCCACCATAGGGGACCACACCTTCAGCTGCTTAGGTCCTAAGTCCTGGAACTTGTTCTCTAAATCTCTTCACTTCTCTTCCCTTTTAAGGATATGTTGATATGCATCTCAACACCATTCTCCTGCTTTCTTCCTGTAATCTTTGATCCCCTTACCAATTAAGAACCTGTATACCTTGCTCTTAAATACACTGTCTTCCACAGATTCACCACCCTCTGGCTGAAGAAATTCCACCTCACCTCAGCTCTAAAGCGTTGTCCCTTCACTCTGCAGCTGTGCTCTAGGGTATCGTATCACTGAGTGGAAACATTTTCTCCACGTCCATGCTATCCAGGCCTCTCAGTATTCTGCAACGTTCAATCAGATGCCCCCTCATTCTTCCAAACTCCAACAAATACAGACCCAGCGCCCTCACCTGGCCCTCATATGACAAGTCCTTTATCTAGAATCAGAATCATAGAATCCTTACAGTGTGGAAACGGGCCCTTCAGCCAACAAGTCCACACCAGCCCTCAGAGCATCCCACCCAGACCCATCCCTCTATTCTACACATCCCTGACCCCTATGGGCAATTTAGCTTGGCCAATCCACCTAGCCTGCACATCTTTTGACTGTGGGAGGAAACTGGCCATGCTAAATTGTCCATAGTGTTTGGGGATGTGTGGATTAAGTGGGTTACAGGGGGATGGGTCTGGTTGGGATGCTCTCAGGTTTGGTGTGGACTCGTGAGGCCGAAGGACCCGTTTCCATACTGTAGGGATTCTATGATCTATGATCATTCATTCATTCGTAATACAGACCCATGTAGTCACCAGTTGTCATCCTGAAAAAGGCTCCTTTATCCCCATTCTCTGCCTTCTGCCAGTCAGCCAATCCTCTATCCATGCCAGTTCCTTGCCCCTAACACCATGGGCTCTGTGTTATTTAGCAGCCTCCTGTATGGCACCTCGTTACAGGCCTTCTAGAAAATCCAAATAGATCTCATTCACTGGCTCCCCTTTGTCTAACTTGCTCATTACCTTCTCAAAGAATTCTAAAAGATTTATCAGACATGACTTCCCCTTAAAAAGCTGTGCTGACTCAGCCCTGTTTTACCATGCTCGTCAGCAAAACCTTCACTCATTCAAATGCCCACTCAGCAGTGAAAATAATATTATCTTTCGCCAACCAGAAGACAGGGTTATTGTCAGCAAATTGGCTGAGTTTACTGAGGCAATTGTAGCAAGAGTTAGAAAAAATGATACCAGAAGAAATCACCAAATGTATGACAGCTACAAATGAGCAAAAAATGACAAGGGCAGTGAATCACACGAAAAGCAGTGAAGGTCACAACAAGTAGAGAAAGAGTGCCCTGAAATGAGACCCTCTCCCTTAATTTATCTGTAAACAAAGTTCTACATCACATGCTTTACACTATTGCATTCCTTTCTTTGCAAGTTATTCACAGTCAGTTTGCGAGCATCACTAGTACCATAACAATTTATCATCAGCATGAACAGCACAGCTACTCTATTCAATATCTTCAGGTCGAGCTTTTCTTCATTTAACACCAGATTTTGGATTTATTCATTTTCTAGCTATTAATTCACACTTTTTTTTATTATATATATTAATGTATATCAATCTTCTCCAGAAGTGTATAGCATTTTTATCAAATGCCACCTGAAAATTCAATTTGATTAAGTATCATTACATTGAGATTATCAATCAGTTTTGCTACCTTGATGGATTGCACATGATGTGAAAGGCACACAGAGTCCTCCAGTTTGTTATGTCATTCTTTAAAGTAGTATATGAAAAGTACAGCAGTTAGGCAAAGACAGCAGCTTTCGAACATATTGCTAATGCAGAGTGCCTCACTGATACTCACTATGAAAAGATCGGAGATGCATGGAGAGGCCATTGGCCTGGCTGAATCCTTTGCCACACTCTCGGCAGACATAAGGCTTGTCCCCAGTATGGGTCCGTACATGGCGTGTTAACTCGATTGACTGGGCAAACACTGCGTCACAGTACTGACACCCGTACATTTTCCCTACAGAACGGTAAAAGATTCAGGAGATTATAAGGGCCATGACAGAGTCCAGAACACTTTTTCTAGCAGATTGCAAAACTGTTCTAAAGACGAAGAAAAACATGTCAGAACTAAGATAATTATATATTTTAAATTTTTAATCAACCTGTTCAGACATGTTATGAAATTCTACTGAAGCAGATGGGACTTGAACCTAGGACTACTAGCCCAGAAGTAAGGACACCACCATTACACCACAACAGCCCTTATATACTGAGAGTGGAGGAAAGATACTGAAAATAACAGATCAGAATCATTTGTGGTAATTCAGACTGAATATAAAAGATTCCAGCATTGACTAAGATTGTATCACATAGAACCAAGGGTATTATATTTATTAGAAATTTTTTAAATAGATATTTTTAACCAACTCGTTCAGACAGGACACATCTCTAGAGTAAGTCAGTCTTGAACCTTGGCTTAAGACTTCTTAAAGATTTTAAATGTGTGTGCCTGTCTGTGGTGTGTATCTATATAAGGTTATGAATTAATCTGATCAACCCAGACGTCAGAAAATCAGAATAGCTGTAGGCCATTCAGGCCCTCAAACCCATTCTAACATTTAATTAGATCATGGCTCATCTAAATCTTTATTCCATCAACCTGTCTTTGTACTGAAATCCCTCATAACTCTTGCTGAGCAAATTCTATCAACCGCACTTTTTAAAATTTCAACTGACTGCTAACCTCAACATCTTTAACGCAACAGAGTTCTAGATTCCTCTTTGACAAGAGGTGCTTCCTGAGACCAACCCCGAACAGCTTTAGTTTTAATTAAAAGATCATGCCTCCTTATTCTGAACTTTGTCAAGAAAAATAATTTACCTACTTGATTGAAACCACTGAACACACTACCTTAAGGGAACATTAAGGCAGCCTAAAACTGTAGCCATAGCTTAGCTCCTTTTGGATATATGGTGACATCATGAGGAATGAATCAAATTATTTGAGGATTGGCATCTATCATTTCTGGGATCTCAAGTGGAGGTCAAGACAGATATACAATTACATCTCAGGCTGAAGAT